CAGAAAAGGATCTTGGAGTCATCTTTGATGCCAAGATGAACATGGGCCGGCAGTGTGGGGATGCAGGCAGGAAGGCCAACCACACCTTGTCATGCATCCACAGATGCATCTCTAGCAGGTCCAAGGTTAATGTCGTTTTTGTCCCCTCTGTAACTGTACAGAATGCAGGGAAATAATGAAGGAGAAATACAGGCTGTATAAACAGTTCTGTGGCACTTCCTCTGATCAAGGTGAAACACCTGGGCTTTGGGATATTGTAACTGTAATAATACATCAGAATCTTTTTACTCTCCTCTTTTTTTTTTTTTACATAGACTTCAGAACATTCAAGACTGGGGACAGATCCTTTAAACTGAGGCAGAGAGATGGGTAGTGAATTGTCCGTGGTTACATAGAGACCACTGTTAAACCCCAGAGCAAGAGCTTGGGTTGCCTTACTCTCAGCAGTGTGTGCTAATTTCAGCTTCCCCATATACTATGCTTCTAGGTTGCCTGCTCCTGTCCAGCTCAGATTGGTAAGCACTGCAAGTTATTTTTCAGTGGCTCTAATGAACTTGGTGTGATGGTTCTCAAGGAATGTGTGCAGACTTCAAGAGCTGCCCCTGGACCTTGTATTGAATGGCACCTGAGTCTCCGCAGAGACCAGGGACCGACTGGGCTGCAGCAAACTGCCGTGTCCTCTGACTAAAGGGCTTGTTTTCCTCTCGGATGTCAAGTGAAGCAGAGTGGGTTGGAAGCTGGGTTGTCCCCTTCGTTGTCCTGGGGCTCTGGGTAAATGAAGGACCTCTGTCCCCAAGGCTGTCAGCCCAGCATCCTTCACAGGGATATTCACGCCAGCAACACTTACCTTAGAGCAGGAGGACTTGGGCCAAGTTCTCTAAGCTGGCCTGCTGAAAGCCACGGGCAAGCAGGGTGCCTTCCCCCTGCCTCAGTGTGCAGGCAGGGCCTACCCAGCCCAGCCAGCCAGCCAGCAGTGATGTGCAGTGTTATTTCAGAGAGTGCCAAAAGGTATGAATTACTGCACGTCAGAGCCGCATCTGGAGGAATGTGCCAGTGTTATTCCAATGGCAGCACGCTGTGAAGATGATGAAGCCGAGGGGGGCTGCATGGACACGCTATTTCAAATGAGTGGTCTCGCCTTGCCCTCCCTGATGGGTCCAAGGGGCCAGAGGGGACTAATAAGAGGCTGAATAATGCGATTGTGCATGTGGATTTTCCACTGCCGACTCTTAGTTTCTCTTAGCACAAACATCCCAAGCTCCCACCAGCTGCCGTTCCAGGTGACAGGGTTTTCCTGAAGCTTGTGCATTCGTTTATACAGAAATATATGTATATACATAGACATTGTAAAAAAGATTCAGCTCATTACACGCACACTACGGTGAATAGTTTTTCCTCTGCGTGTGCCATATTCTGCCGAGCAGGGTGTGTGAGAGGATGCCAAGGATAACACAGCATGTGAATGGTCCCTCAGTGTTCCTGATGGGGCACTGACAGGGAGCGCTGTGCACTTGTCAAGGAACATATGTTGTCCTGTCTTGGCAGGGCTGTGCCGTGAATGAGAACAAGGTAATTATGCTTCCTAGGAACCTGGAATGCACCTTCCCCAGCCCCTCAAAATAGACAAGCGTGTGAAGCTACAGCTTGAGGCAGAGGGAGATGTTGGCCGCCTTCCCTTCGGGTGTTGGGATCCCTAGAGTTGAGGACCTCTTGCTGAACAGGGGTTCGGTATTTCAGGCTTCCTAACTTGGTCTCATATGCTGAGCGCTAGCTCCCTCGGAGAAACGCCTTGGTCATAGAGTGCAGGAGGCTCTTGCGCGGTGTCCCTAGGGTGACTCACGCTTTGTCCCTCCGTGCCGTCTATTGCTCCCTGCTCTTGCAGATCTTAGCCCTCACCTGGGAACTGTGACTTACTTCGTGCAGTGTGCCTGGATGCTGCCTAAGTGCCAAAGCTGGGTGTGGGGCTCTGCCAAGTAAAAGATTAAACCAACAAGCTGCAGGCCACCGTGCTGCCATCCAGCAAAGGACACCAGCGAATGGTATCCCTCCACCCGTAGGAAGAGCTGCCAGCAAGTCGCACTAGGTTACGAATGAACTCAGGCACTAGTCATGTAAATGGCTTCCCTGGGTGCTGCAGCCCGAGCAACTTTAGGGTGCTGCTGCCTTGTGCCAGCTGAGTGACTTGCAGACTAGCTGGATTTCTTGTCTTCCACCCCCAGCAGCAGGACCATAGAGGGCAGGAGACTGTCCATCAGAGTCAGGATTTTTCCTCATAGTGGAAGAAGTGCCCAGCTCATCCCAGACCTCCAGGGAGCATTGAGCAGAGCCTGGGGCTACACTGTGAGAGGTTCAGCTCTTCAGACTGGTGCAGTTTCTGTACATGAATGGTTTACCCATTCATGCAAAGGACAAACGGCATTGCAAAGGACAAACAGCACAGCAAGGACTGGGGCAAGCTTCCCTTTGCTGCCCTGCCAGCATGCCTCAGTCATGTTCCCATCTAAGGTATCTTCATCTCCATGCTTCCTGCAGCCGTTGACTTTTCTGAGGTTCCCAGGGAGGGGGTTTGGTGGGAACTCCAAATGCTGAGTTTCACTGCTTTAACAAAGCTGCTCTAAGATGGCACCTGTAGCTGAAGTGGTGGATTTCCATGGGTAGGGTGGGGTTGCAGCTGGAGTTGTCTCAGGGGGTAGGACCTGAGGTAGGGCTCTTGCATGAGTGACCCATCTCCCAAGCCATCTGAACTGGAGGCTGTTGGAGTGTGTTTGAGAGACAAGGATTGATCATAGGGTGGAAGTCAGGAGGGGTGTTGTGAGCAGCATTTAGAAACCCACATGAGCTAGAGACGTAAATACGGGGGGTTGGGAGGCAAGTGGATATGTGACTGCACACGCGTCGCTGAAGATGGCACGCGACTGCCAAGTTGTCTCCAGTTTCTTATCGAGGGCGTGTTGCAGTGGAAGTAAATCTTGAGACCGAAGGAGGGGCAGGCTGGGGGGCTGAGGGACTAGTGAGCAAATGCTGTCTTGGGAAGGCTGAGATGAAGACATTAGCTGGATTGTAGAGTGGCTCCTGTTGGTTGTGGTCGAGTGTGGTTCAGCAGCTGTGTGGAGCAACAGGAAAAAATTAAAGCAGATTGCTTTTGGCAGAGGAATGGGGGCCAGTTACAACACGTTGAATAAAAATAAACACACAGCACTAGGAGGGCTGGCGCTCACAGCATGATCCCAGCAGACCTGCGAGGCCCACAGGAAGCTGACACTTGCGTGTAGCCGGGGCAGAGATGTTGCTTGTAGGCAGCCATTGGGCTGAGAGCAGTCGTTCAGTCTTGGTCTTCCAAACTCTAGGCTGATGCACCTTGGGTCTGATTTCTCCTCACTGTCTTAGTTCCATCATTAAAGCTCTCAGTCCATCCCCACCCACCCAATTTTGACCTAAGCCTACTAAGTGGAAGGGTCCTGGGCCTTTATCTTTGAGCACTTCTGCCTGTAGACATAAGTGAACAAGCCAAGTTCTCTGTCTTTGTGGCTGGCTCAGCGCAGGGCTGCAGCAGTGTTTGTTATTCGGAGGCTCCAAGGCCAAGGGTCTTTAGTTGCCTGCTTAATTCCTGCCCTGCAGCTCTGGTTGGGATTCTGCAGATCTGAATATTCGTGGACAAGGCTGGGGCAGGATCCTGAATGGGCTTAACGCTGAAAAATGAATGCTGCAGCCAGGAGTTTGGGGCTGAAGTCTCCGCCTTTACATTTGCTCTGTTCCCCCCCACCCATTGCCCCCTATGAACCACTTTTCCTGGCAAGGGCCATTACATCCAGCTCCCAGCCCAACAATAGCAGTTTATTAGGCCTGCAGCCCAGAGTGTGTGTGTGTGCGCGCGCGCGTGTGTGTGTGTGCAACTTCTCCCCAGAATTCCTAGCCCCTCCTGGCCTGCAGGTGAGGGATGGGGCCAGTGTCTTGCACTCTGGTCCTCTACATGGCAGTGAACTATGTTGCTACCTCCGGTTTGGTGTGGAGCTGAGATCTATGTGCTCCGGGCTTTACATGAGAATCCAATTAGAAGTTGCTTGTTGTCCTGGAATTCATGACAGGACCTTCCTGAACAAACCGTATTGGAATGGGTAAGAATCACAGGCTGGAGCATAAAGTTGCTGATTCCTGGCTGTAACAATGACCTGGCAGAGGTCCCTGCTTCCCTCCCTGGATAGCTGAAGAAGCTAGAGTGGAACCAGCAGGATTTGAGCTTTTCCTCTCTTCCTCCCAGCTGCTATGTAGTTCAGTGTGAAAGCTGTCCTAATGCTGATGCCCTGCATTGCCCCCCTCTGTGTGTCCACAGGCTAGCGGGAACAGCCTGGTAGGGTCCATCTCCGAACAGACACGGATGATGCCAGAGCTATGACAGGGGCTGCAGTCCTGGCACTGAGGGGTGATCAGTTATGGAACAGCTACAGGAGGAAGTACCTGAGGTCAGGGAAGAGGAGGAGGAAGAGGAAAAGGCAGTGACAGCAGCAGGTGGAGCCTTGGATACAAGTGGAGGACTGGATAGTTCACTGCCTTCCAGCAGCTACACAGGTAAGTTAGACGGGCTCCCTGGGGCACACAGCAGATGTGCATGGGAAACGGTGGGTGCTGGCTTTCCAGGAAAGGGGAAATACCTGCACAAAGAAACGAGTCTTGCAGCCTGAAGAAGTAAGATGCTGAAAATGGAGAGAAGCTCTGTACAGCTAGGACCAGGATTTCCATGGCAAAGTTAGAGGCATCCCTTCCTGTGCTGCATCTAACCTCATATCAGGAAAGAATCTCTTCCCCCCTCAATGATGTGCCTGAAATGCTGGGGGAAGCTTGCCCTCCTCTGAAGGAAGGGCCATTGGCTACTGCCATATTATCTGGGCATCAGACTCTTTCTTTGCACTGAGCTGCAAAGGGCAGAGGATCTTCCCTGTGAATGGAGTTTAGTTTTAATCTTTCTTTTTTTTTGAATGGATTGGCTGAGAGCCAAGTTCCTGAGAAGCTTAATCCTACCACTAAAGAGGTACCATTAACTGAGCAGTGGGAGAGGAAAGTTAGAGTGCCACACACAACTTTAGGTTCCTAAGTTTTAAAGGGAGCTAAATCCAGCCTGAATGCAGATAGACAAAGGAAGAAAATACCATGCAGGTGGGCATTCTGGTGGTATATGAAAGCTGTTGCTTGGTGCCAGTTGCATGCTTGACGTGGCACGGGGCACCTTAAAGCCAATCCCTAATCTACAGACCTGACTGTCCAAACATGATCTGTGGGCTCCGGCCTCTTGAAGAGAGGCCTCTCTTGCCTGGTTGCCCTGCTGTCAGAATTGCAAGCATCTATCTGCCTGTTGTCACAGGCTAGGGACCCTCCAGTTTGCCTCTCTGTTTGCCTGTAGACCTTTCCCAGAGCTCCTCTCCATCCCTGTCGGACCAGCTCCAGATGGGCTGCGAGGATGCATCCTCTGGGATGCTGAACGTGGAGTGCAGGGTCTGTGGAGACAAAGCATCGGGGTTTCACTATGGAGTCCACGCATGTGAAGGCTGTAAGGTATGGGGTGCATGCAGTGTTTAAGCTCTGTCTAATGGGAAAGGTGGGGGGCCCTTCTGTTACCCGAGAGAGTTGAATCTGAAGCCACCAACTTTGTAACAGGCTGGGCTTTTGGTCTGGCATTTTGTTGTGTAGCAAAGTGGGGAGGCAGTAATAATTGATTGCAAATACCATTCTAAGGCCTGATCCATGGGTAAAAAGGGGCAGGCAGTACTGAAAGGGGCTGAAGTACATCTGGAAGAGAGGCAACAGCCAAAGCGCTGAGCTCTGCGCAGCACGAGCCTTCCCAGCTGTGCATCCCCTCAGTTCTCACCCCTTGTACTGTGCTTCATTCAGCAAATCTTTTATCACAGTGAGGACACTGGGCCAGATTTTCAGGATGTTCCCTGGCTGATCTCTGCTATGGGTCAGCAGCAAGCGTGGATAGTTATTGCCGTAGGGTCGTTTGGCCAACGCCTGGACACGATTATAAAATTCCTTCCCCCACAGCGGATGCCAGAGGGGCTGCAGTAGACATCTGGGGGCTGCCAAACATTCCTCAGGAAACGCTGGCAGCGGCTGGGACTTGGAATGCTGTTGCTTGCTTGCTTGTCTCCCCCTGCCGGCAGCAGGCAAGATAGAGACAGCCACAAACAAAACATCTCTCTCTTTGGCAAGCCATTCCCTCCTCCCCCTTGTGATAGATGTTTGGTTTGTTCTGAGATCACCTGAAATCACATCACTTTTGGCTTGGCAGCCTTTCTGCCTGCAGCCTGGACCTCCACCCCACCCTGAACCTTTGAGGGTCCGAGCCACTCTGAGCTTGGAGCACTGTAGGGCTCAGCTGGTTCTGAAGCCCTGTTGACTAATGCTGCTGTTCTTCCACCTGCTCTCTTCTGCACCCTTCCCACAGGGCTTCTTCCGCCGAACAATCCGCATGAAGCTGGAGTACGAGAAGTGTGAACGGAACTGCAAGATCCAGAAGAAGAATCGGAACAAGTGCCAGTACTGCCGCTTCCAGAAATGCCTCTCCCTGGGCATGTCGCACAATGGTGAGGCCCCCACAGCCTAAAGGGCAGGGGGATGATGTCTGGGTGGGGGGAGCCTCACCTGTGTGTAGTATTCAGAATTGCCTGGGGATTGTGGGAACCCAATAGGAGACCCCTTCAAAGGGCCTAATTTCCAGGGGATGAATGGTTGTTGCTGCCTTTCAAGCATCTCTGACTGAGCACTCAGTATTGCTGATGGCTCCAGCAGATTGGGAGCCTGTGCTCTCCAAAGCAATGCTCCCTAGGCAGGCCTCAAATAAGAGATGCCTCCAGGAGCCTGCGCTCTGTAGCGGAGTGTGGTAGGGTGGGGGCGGTTTCTGCTAATTGAAGCCATGCCTCTACCATGGTGTCTTCAGAGCAGCATCACCAGATGTCCTAGGCACCTAAAGAGCAAATAGCAATTAGCATTTACCTTCCCGAGAGCCTTTCTCCTCTGCGTGCCTCACTGGCTGTGCACACGCAGCCCTGCAGCGCAACTGTCCCCAAGGGGGGCAGCAGCCACACACACAAGACAGCGGGCCAGGGAAAGACACCAGAGCAAGTGTCCTGCTTTTGGGAAAAGCACTGTTGGGCGCACAGAGCTGGAGCCACCCATGGCCTTGAGTTGTGCTTGGTGTCCTGAGAAGCAAGGCAGGGGGTGAGTGGCTTTCAGCTCCGTTTCCTTTCTCATCCCAGGAGCAGTTGGAGGCCAGCTTGGCCCCAAAAGCAAATCGAAGAAGCTTTACAGTTGTCCTTCCTCATACTGGCAGGGGTAATTTGGAGCCATTCCACCAGGCAAAGTCCTCCCAGTGCAGCTTGCTCCCACCATGCCCCTGCTTCCCCTGCCACGCATGCTAAGAAAGATGTGGCCAGAAGTAGGAGGCAGAGAGCTGCCTGTTGTACAACAAGCAGGGATTCTCCTGTGCAAGAGAATCTCTGCTCACTGCTCGGTTATCCCCTCATGAGCAGCACGCAGGGGATATGCAGGAGGCTGGGATCTGGCCTGTGGTGCTAACCCAGAGCAGAGGCCAAGTTGGTTTAGGTCTGTAGCTCCAGGGAATCAAGTCCTCCAAACAAAGTGCTTACACCACAACCTACCCCTTGGGTGCTGAGCTTCTTAGTCTGTAGCAGGAGGAGCCCTGGCTTGGAAGCCCTTCCTTTGCAGTGCACGTCATGTGTTGGCTGCTGAACCAAGGAATTGCTTTTTTGCTGTTTGTTCCTGGACTGTGTGCTGTCCATGGGCCCTGGGTGGTTTCCGTTCCTTTCCACATATGGGGCTGGCCCAGCAGAAGCAGCACAGATGGCTTTTCTGTCTTCTGTCCAAAAACACAATAATCAAAAGCACAAGCATCGTCTTCCCCTCAGTCGTGGCAGAGCCTGTCCAAGAAACAGGTCTCTGGGGAGCCCATACTATTCCGTAGCACTTCTAGTGTAGCTCTGAACAGGGGCCTTGCTGGGAAATAGTGATGGTGTGGCACTGAGCCACAGGCTCGAATCTTCCAGGGGCCCCTGTAGCTTCGTAGTAAAGCTCCCAGATACCCAGAGCCCTTGCTGTTGGTGAGTGGCATCCCAGTTGCCCTGAAGAGATGTGTGTTCTCCTTGCTTGGTTCCTTGTTGTCATCTCCCAGAGTGCCTTATGGTGCCCATTTTGTCACGTCACAGCCATCCGCTTTGGCCGCATGCCAGAGGCGGAGAAGAGGAAGCTGGTGGCGGGGCTGACAGCCAGTGCGATCAGCTGCCAGAACCCGCAGGTGGCCGACCTTAAGGCCTTCTCCAAGCACATCTACAATGCCTACCTGAAGAACTTCAACATGACCAAAAAGAAGGCAAGAGGCATCCTGACTGGGAAGGCCAGCAGCAGCCCGGTGAGTGCCCTAGGTGGGCTGCAGAAGGCCAGTGCTTTAGGCCAGCCATCTTCACCTTAAGGCAGGGGCCATCAGAAGCATTTGATACCTTAGGATCAGGCCCACAGGTACTGCCTGCCTGGGGCGACCTTCGTGCTAGTGTTTCACTCTCTAGTGTTTGGCATTGGAGTTGTATTTTGAATGCTGCTGTGATCAGACCAGGCCAGAAATTTGATCCTGTGATCTCCCTAATGGATGAACCACCTGAATAGTGGGCCAGACCCTGAGACTTGTCGTGTAAGGCACCAGGGCAGAAGGCGCTCGCCTCTTCACCAGGTGTGAGGGAAAATGTCTGCTTGTTGAGAAGCACCGCCCAGTGTGGTGCTCATGTTAAAATGTGCCCATCGGCTCTGGGGGCAAAGATGAGCCCTGTTTATAAGAACTCGTGTAGTGTGCTGGGTCTGGAGCTGGGAAACCCTGCCCAGTATTTATCCTAGCTGTTCAACCCTTCCCTTTTACCCACTCCATCCCCTCCCCCCAGCAAAAGCTGCTTTTCATCGTGGCAGGGTTGTTATAGTGGGAGCATCAGCCTGATGACAGCAGTTCCCCTTTTGATATCTCTGTAGAGTCTGTGATTGAAAAGGAATTGCCAGGTAAGCATGGGTAAATTCTCCGAGGGCCTACATTAGCAAGGTTGACCTGGGATCAACTGAAGCAGCATTGGGGAGCTATGCAAAATGGTTAAACCCTTGAATGAGTGACCCAGTCCACATGTAGGCATCTCGGAGGGCCCTGGTTCCCGGAAGTACTGCTTATCCCTTTCAGTCCTGGGTTTCAGCACTAGAATAATCTAACACAGGAGCAAATGAGCATCTCCAGCTGCATGGAGTGCTGCAGTGCTGCTCATGCTGTGCAGGATTTCCAAGGATCTGGCTGCAGCAGCACAGTGTGCAGCCCAGAATTCAAAAACACCGGCAGGGAAGCAGCCCCACTGTAACTTGGCCAGCAAATAGGCTAGGTGAGCGTCTCCAGGCTAGTGACTCAGTGGGCTTTATTGCATCCAGCGTTGTTGCTGGTTAACCAGGAGCAGGGTGACCATCCTCAGAGCACAGGCTCACTCCATGCAAGCGGCTGTGTGATGCTGCCTAGAGACTCCCACATGATCCATCACTCTTCTTATCACTGGGTTCCTGCCATGGGCTACATATTCCTTGAAAGCAGGAGGCAAAGAGATACTGTGGATACCAGGGGTAATAGAAAGGAGTTGGGAAGGTACAAAGAAGGGGAACAAGGATGATGACTAGTATGGAGAGTCTTCCATGTGAAGAGAAACTAAAGAGGCCAGGCCTGTTCAGTTAAGAGAGACATTTGAAGGAGGGCATGATAAGAGTTTACAAAATATTAAATGGCAAAGAGAAAGTAAATGGAGTTATTATTTACTGTCTCTCACAAAACAAGAACTAGGGGTCACAAAACGAAACTAGTAGGTAGTAAGTTTAAAACTAACAAAAGGAAGTTCTTTTTCACACATCATGTCTTTGAAGCGTGGAATTTGTGGGCACCAGATGTTGCGGAAGCTGACAGTTTAGCCAGATTCGAAAAGGGATTAGACACAGCCTTGGTGGAAAGGGGCATCAATAGCTATTGAGCATGGGAGTTAGGAATACAGCCTTTGAATTAGAAATTCCAAGACCTTAAATGCTGGAGGCTGCAAGTGAGAGAGGAACAGTGGGGAAAAAACCTGATCATACCCTGTTCACTCTCCCTTTTTAGCATCTGCTCTCTGCCTGAGACAGAGAGACAGAGACTGGGCAAAATGGACTTATGGTCTGACCCAGTATATAGCAGTTCTTACACTATTATGTTAATTAATAGGATAGTGTTCTGAATTGCCTTCAATATCAGAGACAGATCAGTGTGCTTGGTATAGCTGGGACTTTGAAGCCCTGTGGCAGAGGTCTCACTTTTCACTTCTCTTTTACGTAGCCTTTTGTGATCCACGACATGGACACCTTGTGGCAGGCAGAAAAGGGGCTGGTGTGGAAACAGCTGGTGAATGGGATCCCCCCATAAAAAGAGATTGGAGTCCACGTCTTCTATCGCTGCCAGTGCACCACTGTGGAGACTGTGCGGGAGCTCACGGAGTTTGCCAAGAGCATCCCCAGCTTTGTTGGCCTCTACCTGAATGACCAAGTGACTCTACTGAAGTATGGAGTGCATGAGGCCATCTTTGCCATGCTGGCCTCTATCATGAACAAGGACGGGCTTCTAGTGGCCAACGGAAATGGGTTTGTGACACGTGAGTTCCTGCGTAGCCTGCGCAAGCCCTTCAACGAGATCATGGAGCCCAAGTTTGAGTTTGCTGTGAAGTTCAACTCGCTGGAGTTGGACGACAGTGACTTGGCTCTGTTTGTGGCTGCCATAATCCTGTGTGGAGGTGAGTCTGGGCCTGGCAGCCATGTGGATGGCATGATTGCTGGGGGAGGAGCATGGAGACTCCTTGGCAGGTTGTGGGGTTGATGTGAGGCTGTTTCTGAGGGGAGCTAGACCCTGCTGCTGGGCGGGTGATCTGCCGGCTGGAGCTGGGGTTTGAATCTGGTGAATTCACCAAAAGAGAATTGCATAGACCTGAAATCAAAGCCTTCCAGCTTCTCTGCTGCACTGGCTATACACACCTTGGTGTTTCCTGTCACCACCATGAGGTGAGGCTGTAGGAAGTACAGAAATGGGGTTAAAGCCCCCATGCCCAGAACGTGCTGTGACAGGGGTTGTTTAGGGACCAAGGACTTCTGGCTTCTTTTCTGATGCTGACTCAGTGCATAAGTTTGGGCAGGCTGGTTAGGAGTGCCCTGTGTGCTCCCCCGTGGCTAATGTTTAATACAGTGATTCTCAAAAAAAGCCAGCCCCACAAGATCCTTTTAAGGGTGCCATGCAAAGGGATCAAAGCATTCCTTAAGGTCTTTGCGCTGCTAGGTGTGCAAACACCGACATGTGATTCACAGGATAAACCCAGAGATTTCAAATAAGAATCCACAGGGTCAAAAACACTCTGCCCTGCTGCAGGCTTTTCAAGTTCTGTGCAACGGAACTGCTCTATTATTTTTCTGTAGTCAAGAAATAAGCAAAAGCTAAAAGGGAAGGGACACTCTCTGAGTGGTGCCTTCAGCCTAAAGAGATTGAGAACCACTCATTTTAATGAGAGTCATGCTTGGGCTATGCTTTAAGCTGTGTCCATTCTCTTCTACAGACCGCCCTGGCTTGATGAACGTGAAGCTGGTGGAGGATATACAGGACAACATCCTCCGAGCCCTGGAGTTCCACCTGCAGACCAACCACCCTGACGCCCAGTACCTCTTCCCCAAGCTGCTGCAGAAGATGGCTGACCTGCGGCAGCTAGTAACAGAGCATGCACAGCTGGTGCAGAAGATCAAGAAGACAGAGACAGAAACTTCACTGCACCCACTCCTGCAGGAGATCTACAAGGACATGTATTGAGGAGCGCTTATTTATGAGAGAGATTAAAGCCATCGACCCCTTGCCGAACTCTTTGTGCGACAACAAAGAATCCCTTTCCCCGTCTTCCATTTTCTTCTACTGGAAACTGTTTTCTATAGGATCAGTACACACGGTACATAAGGCAAAGCACCATGAGACTTTGCAGTTACTGCGGGGTAGGCCAGGGCTTCCGTTAATATGCACTAACCAACCTTAAAGGGTGAAACCCATTTCCATTGTTACAGCCCAGCTGCTTCAGGAGTGGCTGGTGCATTTCCACCCAGGTCAACAGGCCGTGGGAGCACTGGGCCCACAAAGCGGCAGCAAGGGGATGGTCTGATGTAGGAAGACCAAGGAGCAGCTCCAGTATCTGCAGGCCCAGAACTGCACTTGAGATCTCGCAGCTGCTGTGTATTATTTGTATTGCACTCCACAGGCTATCAGTCCTGAGCCATGAGGTCTAAGACAGTCACAGAAGCAAGCGGCTCTCAGGGTACGAGTCCCCCAGAGAAACCTGTGAGTGTTTGGAGAAGGGTACGATGCTTCCTCAGGGGACAGACCGGCTGTGCTCCCCCTGAATGCCTAGGGAAGACATGCTTTCTACTAGAGATGTGTCCTCCCCTGCCTTCCATACTGCTCCCTTACATGTGTGAGTCTTCATGTGGCCTGAGTTAGTCCTTGTTAACCCTTAATTTCAAAGGCACCTGCCCCTTGGCATGTGCTCCTATCTTCACCTAGAACAGTGGTTTTCAACCCTTTTTCATTTGTGGACCCCTAAAAAATTTCAAATGGAGGTGGGGACCCCTTCAAATTGTCAGTGTGGGTATTTACATACTTTTGATTGATCATAGTCATCTTTCGTGGACCCCTTAGACATAGTCTGTGGGCGCCCAGGAATCTGCAGACCACAGATTGAAAACCACTGGCCTAGAAGCTTGAACGTAGGGAAGGAAGGGAGAGGTGAGACGGAGGTTGGCTCACCAGGGTCTTCAGAGCCAGTGCTAGAACTTCTGTTGAATCCATTATCCAATCTGGGGCAGACTTGAACTGCCCCAAGAGCCCAAGTCCCTGCTAGGTGGGTGGATGAAAAGGATTCAGTGTTGTGAAGCAGGCAAGAGAGAGCAGAGCAGGGGGGCACTAGGGTTATCATAGCTATAGGCCCCGTTAGGCAGGGCTCCAGCTTGCTTGGAGCAATTGTGGAAGAAGAAGAGTGGGGAGCTGGGTCATTTCTAGCCTGAAGGAAGGCTTGGATGAATCTGGCCTCATAAGAGAGAGAGAGAGAGAGAGCACTTTTCACTCTCAGGTCTTTATCTCAGAACCAGTCCTGGTCTGTAGCGTGTAGATCACCTAATGGCTCTTAAGTGGCCTGTCGTGAATGAAGTCGTTGTTTTAGATCCAGTTCCTGCTAAACAAGTGTCCGCTTCACTACAGCTACCACCACTGGCACTTCCATTGGCATCCTTGGCACAGACAGCGAGCTTTGAATGGGCTGTGGAGGCTCCATTCTCCTGCTGGAGAGGGAGAGGTGTGTTCCCTCCCTGGCCAGAGTTGGGGTGGGTTACTGGAGCAGCATGGAAGCAGGTTTGGCCTTGCACGCCCTGGGCTGAGGGTCTTGGACTCCCGAGTTGGCTGACTGCCACTTGGACAGAGATCCAGGTTTCTGGATCTGTGTGTGGCTCTCCTGACCCAGCAGCCCAGTGAGAGGAGGCAGCTGTCCAGAGAGAGAAATCTGGCCTTGCAGGTGAGACCTCTTCAAGGATGCATTGGATGAGGCCAGTGGCCAAGAAGGCAAAGCCCTGCCCCCTGCACTGATGCTGTTCATTGGGCCCTGAAGGGAGGTTAGCTCCAGGTGGAGGGTTGTTATAGTAGTGTAAAGCCCTTAGTGAATGCACTGCTTTGACCCCACACCCTCCTCGGCAGACCCCATGTGGCCCAGCCTGAGGGAGTTGACCACAGGCTGCATGACCTTGTAGATCTCTTCCATCTCTAATGCTAGAACCATGCTAGGCATTGACTTTGCGGTGTTGGGGAGACCTCCTGCTGGAGGGCAACTCCAGCTCGGGCCTGGGAGGCCTGAACGTCTGACTCTGGCTCAGCCGTTAACTTGCAAGCCACGTAACCACAGTGCCTCAGTTTCCCTGACCCATAAGCGAGTCTAATAAAACTTGAATCTCCCTTGCAAAGGTTGAAGGGGAGCCAGCTAGTGTTTGTACAGTGCAGTATAAATACCAAGTATTTATGGCAGGAGGCGGGGAATGCCCTGTTTGTTGTGATGACAAGACTGGGGCTTTTCAGGGGAGTCCTGGGATGACCTAGGGCAGCTGGGCCTCCCATAACATCGTGCTTCCACAGTACTTTGGTATCATTGGCAGGGACTTGTTCTGGCAGCTGTGGGCACCAGCTTTGCTCTTAGGCTCTGTGACCGGCAAAACCTTGAGCAAGCTTCCCTTGCACCTTCCAGCAGCAGTAACAAAAACACCTGTCATGCAGCTGAGAGGGACCTGCCCCCTCCCACTGCAGCCACACTGAAGCAGTGTTTGAGTCTGTCTCCAGGAGAAGAGAGGATTGAACCAGGGATGTGTCTGGTTTTCTGCCAGGGGTGACAGCAGTCACCCGGGATCCCATCTGTGCAAGCGCTTCCACAGGCAGAATCTGTTTAGTTTGATACAAGGCAGCTGGACCCAAGTCAGGGGCAGCAAGTGGCTGGGGAAGGGAAAGGGGGATGTCCCCCTACCCAGAGATGATGCATTGTCCTTGCAGAGCCCGCCAGTAATTGCAGCATGACATGCTGGAGTTACTGTACAGTGCTGTGGGACAAGCCCCTTCTGAGGTAGCAAATTTCCCTGGTGCAATAAGTTAAAAATCCAAAGTGGGAGGTGCTTTGCTTCCCTCCCCATGCTTGCTGGGCAGCCTGACTGCGTGCCTCCAAACGGGTAGGTGGGGCTAGCACAGAGCGCCAAGGGTCCGAGGGATGGTCCCGGTGCCATCTCCATGCCCCACCTGCAGGTGGGTAACATGCGTTCAGCAAATAGAGCATGATCAAGGACAGGGGGCTTCTAGAAACTGGGAGCTGCACGGACTTGCTCTTCTCTTGTAGTAAATCACTCCCTCCCTCCGGGCCTCGGTTTCCCCATCTGTGTTATCGGAACAGCCATTTCCCTTCCCTACCTCACAGGGGTGTTGTGAGGCCGATCCAGCTTGTTCAGCACTTTTTAAGTCCTCGTGTGAGCAGGGCCGGAGAAGCGCCAGCTCCGGGCTGTGATCAAATTGTGACCGGTACTTCCCTGGGTCTGTTTTCTCCCCTCTCCCCCTGCACTGGATGCCCGGATGCTGTGAACAGAGAGGCTGCTGCGATGCCTGGCCCCCTCGCCCCAGGCGATGCTGGAGGAACTCATGCTCTCTTTCAACGTTGTAATAATCCTCAAACTGAAATGTATATTTTTGCTAGAAGTACAAACCTCCAAGTGTTTTTAATAATATAAATAGTGTCCACAGACTGACTTAACTTTAAATAAATATGAACTAAATATTTAAGACACTTTCAGAGCCTTGTAATACTTTCTTTGAAGGATCTTGCACTTTCCAGCCTCCCTGGGGAAGGAAGTGCCAAAGAGCTTTCACTGGGAATGGCCGTGTCTGGGAATTTGCAGCTATGACGCTCCCCTGTTGCCACATCGGGGTGTGGATGGGCCTGGTCCGCACCTTGTTCCTTCACAGGGTGGGCCGGGGGCACTGATCATGCATAACTGTACCATCAATAGTACACCAGCGTAGATCTCACACACCCTCCCCTCGTCAAGGTAGATGTGCCAGCAAAAACCCTGGTCTGGAAGGTGCTGTGCTGCCAGGAGAGGGCTTCTGTCGAGGACCTGTGTGCTCAGGAAGCTGGTATAGCTTCGTCAGCAGCACAACTTCTGCCGTGTTCCACTTCTCCACTTGGGGGCTTTGTGATACCATGATGCTGGTGGTGATGGGTGATGGTAGCCATGCTATGTGGACCAGGAATCACTCATGTGGGTTGTTCCACTTACCTGAATGGGGCTGTTTGCATGTAGTGTGAGTAGGAGCAGGGATATTACTGTAGTCCCGGTTGTGGGTCGGTGCCCCCTTGTGCTAGGTGCTGCGCAAGTACTGATCCACAGTGGTTATGAGAAACGATCAGACTTAATCGGTACTTTCTGCAGTGTGGGGTGGGGGGCAACTGCAGTCAGCAGTCAGCACCGGCCAGCTGTGCAGAGCTCGGTGCTGGGGGCATAGAGTACAGAGCGCACTGCAAGGAGCCAAGTACAGATGCCCCTCTGCTCCCACCCTGGCTGAGCTGGGGGGTAGGGGACAGATAGGCTGTGTTGGTGCAAGCTGCAGGCAGCCTGGTTCTCCCAGCCTGGCATACCTATGGGCTGGTAACATTACATTCACTTTTTGGTTTTGATGGTTTAAGCCAGGGGTTAAGGCGTTAATGTTTAACTTATTTGCTAAGACACTGCCAGGATCCCCCTCCTGCCTCCCTTGAGTTCCCTGTGAGTCTGAAATGGCCTTGGAGGGTATCAGGAGTAAGTTCCTGCTTGCTTGATATCTAAAGTGGCCTTGAAAAAAACTTGTTTGAGCAAAGGGGAAAAAATCCTCTGAGGCCTCCTCTGCTCACTCTAGCCTGCCACTATCCTTTGATTGCCTTTTAAGTTAAACTATTACTGTTCCTTTCTCCGCTTTGCAGCCAACACGTCCTTGGCGAATGCTCCTGGGTAGACTCCTCATCTTGGTCCCAATTCCACTTCTTGATGCCAGTCAAGACTTGAGTCCGTTTGAGTGCAGCGGGTATTGAGGTATAACTTTATTACTGCACCAGGGGTCTAATGCAGAGGTTATGCAGAGAGGTCTGCATCCCTGATCCTGTCAGCAGCTGGTGCCTTCCCAGCATTTGCTTTGTGCTCTGGCACTGTGGTCCAGGTAGTGGAGTTGCATGGCCAGGACTTTGCGGGGGCCAAGCAGCTCAGTACCAACTTAAACTTTAGCTGGGCAACAGCATGACTGGGAGAGCGCTTTCTACTATGCTCAGCTGGCATCCGCAGACACTTCACCAGCAAGGCTCCATCCTTGATAAAAAATCTGATGGATCAGCTATGGGAGCATGTGGAGCTACATCACAGGTTTTGTCTCTGCCTGGAGGCCCCTATGTTGCTTAGGGCCCAGAGCACAGGCTGGGAGAAGAGCATAGGCTCCCTCGCAGGCCCTGTTCAATGGGAGTAGGATTGGACATTATGGAGGAAATCCCCTTCTCTGGGTTCATTTCTACCACCTTGAAATTCTGCTGCTGAGGTCAGTGGCAGCAGGAGCAGGTGGGTGTTTCAAAGCCTTAAAACCGAGCTTGTCATTGTCGTCATCATCGGCAATCCTGTGCAGTCGAGGATGATCGTCTTCCACGATTGTCTCATCTGCGGGTCTGAAGATGGCTGACAAGGCTGATCCGGGATCGACAGACCCCGCTGCAGCTTGGGCACCGATTTTCTGCACAGGGTGGGTGGCGCTGGGTCCTTGATTTGGTACACGGCATGCTTTTCCAGCACGTTCTTTAGGATTGTGAAGTCTGGAAGCTCCTAGTCATGAACCGGCACAAAGGCGGCAGGTACAAGAAGGTTGTCGAGCACATGGGCAAGATGATCAGGACTGCGATTTGGCAACAATAACCGTGACTTAGCAGCCCTCTCCGGATCCACTGAGCTTGTATTTCAGGACTTGTCATGGGAGCTGGGGAGGGCAGGAGCTACAGTACAGATCTTGCCCTTGCTTTTTTCTTTTTTGAATTTTGTTTCCAGTCCAAATCGGTTCCAAGTGAGGTTCCAAGTTTCGGCTGAGCAGAGCTTAATTGTTCACGTCTGTGTGGCACTACCACCAGCAAGTGTCCTACCTGCCAGACGCCAGATACTACTGCCAAATCCATGGCAGGCGTCCTACGTGCAGGTCTCACTTGGCCATAGCCAGCAAGGCTGAAGGAGGAAGCTCGAGGGAGAACTCAAGAGCAATAAATTGTGTAGCCAAGATTGTTATCACCCTAAACTGTGTAGCAAGCAAGATCCTTGCATTTGAAAGCATTTGTAGGTTGGAGGTAGACAAGGTTCTTTGGGTGAATCTGATATCTGTTATTAGACCAACTTAAATAGTTGGAAAACTGTTATTAAGCAAGCCTTTTTAAGATTGGTGAGCTGGCAATCCCGGGTGCTCTCTTCAGTGCAAATTCAGTGGTATCTGAGGGCTTGGCTGTATATCACAGTTTTTTGGTGTGTTCAGGGTGATTGCTGGTTCTGTGCAGATATGTATGTTGGTCTGTGGGTTTCCTGTATAACGTAGACTGTATTTTATCATTCTGGATACTGATCATCGTGTCTAAAAAGGAGATGTTGGTGCTGGAGTACTCTAGAGAAAGTTGGATGGAGGGATGGTGGTTGTTGAATTTCTGGTGGAACTCAGTCGGGGGTCGTAGGTGTTCAGTCCAAACGATGAAGATGTCATCGATATATCTTAAGTATAACAAGGGTTTGCTGGTGCAGTTCTTGAGGAAGTCTTCTTCCAGGTGGCTCATAAAAAGGTTGGCATACTGTGGGGCCATTTTGGTGCCCATAGCTGTTCCCATCATCTGGATACTAGAAATCATGGACTAAATATAGACATTGGATTTATGACACATTATAACCTGCCTGACATCTGACTCCCTAGGTATCTCTCCACTATTCATCCCCCTTCTCTCTCTTCCCCCCCACCTCCCCGTCTCTCACCCATTGACTCCTCAGTCTACATTTTCACTGCCTACCTGCCTTCCATGCAGCCCAGCCCAGCCTCTGGCCTCTTTACTTTTCACGCCATCCAGGAAGAGCACACACCGACTGCTGAAACTTCCTTCACCTGACGAAGGGTTTTTGAACCCAAAAGCTTGCTTAATAATGGTTTTCCAACTATTTCAGTTGGTCTAATAAAAGATACCAGATTCACCCAAAGAACCTCATCTACCTATGTCCTTAGACCAACACGGCTACAACCTACACCTTTGTAGGCTGGAAGCGTTCGTAGGAAGATGCTCACAGGGGTCAGCCTGCCAGCAGGGCATGAGACAGGCCTTCACCCTCTAATTACACCAAGTCATTCAAGACAGAGAAGGTCATGCCATCTCCCCTGGGGCCCAGACATGCACCTCCAGACAGCAAGCAGAGTCCTGGGCTGAGGGGAGGGTGGCACAAAGGGCCTGCCCCTGGCATGGGGTGAGCGCACAGCTCCCCAGAGTCTTGGCTTTTATCTAAGTGTTAAGCTGTGGAGGAAGGTGAGTGGGACCCCATACAGGCCCTGTCTGTCTGCAGCCCGAAACAATGGGTTGTGAACTACCCCATTCCTCTCAGTGATTGTGGTTCAAATGCTGTGAATGGTAAGCGTGCTACTTACACAAAAGAAAAGGAAGCATAGTGGAGGCTCTAAAGGCAGCACAACTGGCTCCTTGGGGGAGTGAAATGTGTAGCTTGCTCAAGGTTTGGAAACCGAAATGAAGGGTTGGGTTCATCTGTGCCTCTGACCTGATACACCCATTCAGGCTTGCTGGGGGAAGTGATGGGGGTCAGGTACTATGTCATGCTCTGCTTCTTGCCTGAGCTGCGCTGCTGTCTGTGTACAGCAATAGCCCGGCACTGCTGCTGCCAGGACAGAGCAGTTTATCCCTGCATTAAATACAGCAAGTCCGGCTTGAAACATGTTTGGGGAGGGAAAACTTCTCCAGGCTGTTAACTGCTACAGTGGCCCAGAGAGCAGCTGGAGCGGGATGGGAAACAGCACAATAGAGTACGAATGGGGGTCTTGAACCCCTTGGGCCAGCACAGCCCCATGGACCACGGGCACTTTAGCACCAAACTCTGAACGCAGAAGCGGAGCAGTTGGCCGAGGCCTCCAGGAAGCCCCCAAATGACTCAAGTGGGGAACCAGCGTTCTTTGCTATTCCACAGTCTCATTTCCTTGTATGCCGAGCATGGGGGAAGGAGCAAGCAGCAGTGACTGTCCTGGGGATCCCCTTGGTGCGGTCTCTGCAGGGGGGAGGGGGTCACAGCAGGGACAGTGCTGCTGCTGGGGGTGCGAGGCTCCAGGAATATGAAGCATGGTGCGAGGAGGTGGGTGGTATTTTGTGTATACTGGGGCAGATGGGAGACAAGCCTCTAGGTTTCCAGTGCCTTCACCTGGTCTGGGGAACCAGCAGCCCCAGCCCAAGCTGAAGACAAGGTAGTTTGCTCCTGGTGAAGACTCATCAACAGAAGCCAGTGGCTCCACTGACATCCCCCCACCCTCCCCGGATGTGACCGGACCTTGTCACCGCACTCAGCTGAGTCCAGAGTCCCACACGTGCCAACCCCCATAACCTGGGCTATCCTCACCTGCTGCACCAACTGCAGTAGGACAGCGATGCCCGAACCCCAGGGGGGTTACACTATTGGCACAAACTACCAGTCCAGGCCTGATCCTCAGTCTTTGTCCTCAAGTAGGCTTTTGTCTATGAAAGCTCCTGCTTCTCCGAAGCCAGTCAGTCTGTAAGGTGCCACCCTGCCCTGCCCTCTGTCCCCAAAGAAAACCTATACAGTACCTTCAGATAGCCTGCCAGCAGAGCCAGGATTTTACCAGGCATCAAAACCAATGGTTTCCATGGCCCCATTGTAGATAATCTCTTGCCTTTTCCTCTTTGCTTCACAGGTGGTAACTGCCTACTTGCTTTCAAGTGGTCAAATTCATCCTCACCATCAGGATAAAACTAAAGCCTTGGTTCTAACTTGGGCTTAGCTCAGACTGCGCTTGACCTCATACAGGGCGATTGAGGAGGGAGGAGGTCGCTTCTCAGTCGTATCCCAGCTACACCAGTTGAAAGCCTGGCTGCATTAGGCCAAAGACAGGGTGGGTGTGCACAGGATAGACTAACCAAGTAAGCAGCCATTTCCTTCATCAGATGCTGGGAAGGGGGTGCAGGAAGCAGGGCCTCCAGACAGGCAGCAGTGATTAGAATACAAAGGGCAGGGGAGGGAGAGGAAAAGAGAAGAGGGGCACTGATGGGGAAGGTAAGGGGGGGGGGGGGGGGAAGGGGAAAAAAAAAAA